AATGAAAAGCCCCTGAGTTATAATTTGCTTGATTCTGAGAGCGTACAGATTGTCTTTATCATCCCTCTTAAAAACAAAATTGATTTCATTTTTAATAATAAATTAATCTCACTATAACGCACTGGGTCCCGTGCGGCCTTCCCTGGGAAATATTATCATTGCATGAAATACAATATTCAAAGCCTCCACAATAAACAATGAAAATATCTATAAAGAAAGCACGCGTAATATTTCCTGCTGCATTTATGCCGAACTTTATTTTAGGGTGCGACCGTGAATATATTAGCTTTTGCAATATTCCCCGGCAATATTATTCCCTAGCTCTAACCATGACGTATTTTTTATCACCCTCACTTACGATATAATTAAGAAACGCCGATTTTTCGCACGATATTCCTGCGACTTGCTGTTTTAATAATGCCAACAATTTAAATAACTATAAACGCTGTCAGCGGCGTGCAACAGGTGACTTAAAAATGTCCATCATTAAAACTCTAATGTTGCGTTATGTTATAACGTGACTCCACACCGCTGAAAAATTGACTTTATTGACAGAAATATTACGGGGGAAACTTTACACCGTGTCGTGTGAAAGTCGAAATCGACGTTCTTTAAACGGCATTTTAAAAATCCCGTACTTGAAAACCTCAAGGGTGTTAGGGATAAGGCGAAATGTAGACGACAAATCTCTATGTACCTATTAAATCCACTCTTTCGGAACAAAATCGAAAAAATTGCGCGTTGTGTTTTACCGATATACAGAAATTCCTACATGCTGTAAAAATGCACTTCCGATATCAAATGCTCGTTACTCTCATGCAGTAAACGCTAAAAGTGTAAATAAAAGCGGTAACAAACGAGTCGTGTTTATGTTGGACTTAACGGTGAGTCTCATTAATAAAAATTGAAATTTATTTTTTAATTGTGCCTCAGATATTTTTCATTAACTTCGCGTCCACAATATTCCATTGCAGCTATTTTAAAAACGACGAAATACCACCCACAAACTTCAGTAAACGCAATGATTATACAAATGCGATTGTACAGTACGTATTTTTATTTGTTTTCTTTTACAAAAGAACCGTACAAACACTGTTTTATCTGGAAAGATATGCAATACTAAAACTCGTACTCAAATCAATGTCACCGATTTGAAATGTAACTTTGTATAGTTAGACACCTGAAAGTTAATCGCTCCGACGGGAGGATCAGCTGTACTATTGCACTAGTGGCTTGCCGTCTCACCCACAAGAATCCGCCCTCTGATGTTAAGCAAACTTTAGTAGATCACGACATAAGAGATTAGGTACACAGTTTAGCACTTTTGCGGTGGTACCGGATTAGAGCCTTGTTCGACGCACACACGTTTCAGATGTTTAGACGCACTAATTTAGCTTTTTTGGAATGTAAGCAAATTTTGCGTAATGCTCGTAATGAACCACATCATGCCACGTTGGGTTTGCTTTCAGTTTGAAGCTAAATGGCCTCTCTCCGACTACAAACTCCGTCCATCGTCCAATTTTGTAGGTTCGTGCGGGGTTCTAGGCCGGATTGGGCGCATTCCAGTGCGTTCAACGAGAATGGTCCATGTTGGTTGCAGTTTAGTTACTCGGTTCCTGTCGAAGGAAATATATATGGAAGGTGGTCTGTTTCCGTCTCTTTTCAATACACGCAGTGCGGTCGTTGAATAATGTTTATGGTTTGGTACCCGTCATGAAATGTACCCACGCGTATATACTGCGGTGTTTAGTCCAAAAAGAAACAAGAAAACGAAGTTGCACGTATGCATACGTTTCTTGGGAATCTCAAAACAGGATTTGGTGCGGTCGACATGTATTGAGAATGTCGGAGAAAGAAGGAATAAATGTAGAGTTAATGTGTAAATCGGAAAAAAATTGAGAAGGCATGCGCGATGAAAATGAATGAAGGATACGCGGAGTGAGACAAGGATTCTCACTGAGTTGGGTGACAGATTAGAAGGAAAAGCATACTCAAAGGTGCAAAGTGGAGTTTGGGATAGGAAAGGGTATGAAGAAGATAAGGAAACAATACGACACTTATTGAATTTAGTGTAAAGGAATGATGAATTATCTATATATTATATGGCACTGATTTGAACCGTAGGTATAAATCAAATTATTTCTTAATTGATATTCCTGTTTTGCTTGTGTTAATCGTTACTTTATTGTGATTTACTTCCTAAATTATAATGAAATGACTGGTGTTTATAAAGACATGGTCAAACGGAGCGTGGTGTGACATGTATTGGTAGAACTGTGGGTGGCATGTCAATCGCATTATGCAAAAACCGGAATTACTATAGTACTATTATACAAGTTATTTTAATTATTATCAAAGGTCCAACTAAGATTGGAAATCGCGAGTGGGTGTCCAATACAGTTATAAATTTAAATTGACTTCATAGCGTTGCCGGTGTTCTGACAATTGTGGGGAAATCTGATAAGCGTTTTGTTTAAAATGATAAAATTTTCACGCTTTTGGTTAAACGACACAGAATGAATCTTTCAATTTGTTGTGATAAGAGTTTGGCCATTTTGTTCGTAGTCAGTGAGAGATCGTTGCGATAATTACATCCGAAAAAAATTGTTCGTTGATTGTATTTGCCAAGTTATATTTATTTTAATGTATAAATGTGAGAAGGTTTTGAGAGTGCAAAGGATTGTCTGTTTTTCGTGTTCGAAGACGCGTAATAAGATGATGTTTAATAAGTGATTCCCGAGTAGTGAAGCTTTGCTAAAATGAGGGGTTGTAAAGTAAAATTAAGTGAAGGAAAATGCAATAAATAAAGACAGCGTTGTTTTTCCATTAAAGAGTATGAGTCCCAAAGTACCTCGCCTAAAAATAGCTTAAGTAAAAAAATGACGAAGGAAAGTTAGAAATACTGTCATTTGCACCGAATAATAATAAACGTGTTTGTAAAAACTAGATTAAAACTTCGTAAAGCATCCATTTTCTAAGTGATAAAAGTTGAATCACAAGTATCAGAGATTTACGCGCCATCAACGTAACTTCTGAGGTGGTAAGTCATGGCACGAGTCTTTAAGGGATAGAGATTATGTTTTCATGATTGATTTTATCAGATCAGACACTGTATAGGGGTTAAAAAAGGGAAAGCGTTCGGCTTTGTGTAACAGGAAATGTTGATTAGAGAGAAGCTTGTCGTGAATTCACAACGCGTGTACGAGTCAGGCCTTTCTCACAATTTTCGGAGCTGCAGACACTATTGCGTCATAGATTTTACAATAATTGCACGGATAACTAATAGCGGGATTCACGTCTTTAAAATTACCACGGAATATCCAAACGAAAACAACAAAATTTTGTTTATTAAATGCCCTCGCTTCATTCGCAAAATTAAATGGCTACAACTGCATCATTTTCTACATAATTTGTTAATAAGTTAATTGGCCCACTTACTAATTAAAACTCAATTACTTATTTCTCACAGAATTAAATTACTCTCTAAAGGCTTCGCTTAAAGGCTTTATTTTCTTATTCTCTGCTTTCTTGTCAGATTTAATGTGTGTATTTTTAGCCGCTTTGATTCCTTACACAGGGATTTCTCGATGTGAAGGAAAGCGAATACCAAAGAGACACATTCGAAGTAAAAATTGAAAAAAAAAAAACAAAAGGAACATAATTACTTCCAAAATACGTACGACTGTGACCTTGTGGTTACTTATTGATCGTCTTTTGTCACAGAATGCACGTCTGCACTTACAAGTCAAAAAGTGACGTCAAAACAAACTAACGTGATGCAGACTTGAATTGTTACACTTACATGTGACTTGTCCTCAGCTTGATAGAAAATACTATATTATTCACATTTCGTATTATACTGATCTGACAAAGGTAGCTACATGTCGATTTCTGTTGATTAATTTACACTGGAATCACCTTCTCAAAAATAAAACAAAGTAACGCGCTACACTAAAATCAATAGCTCGACATGAAAATCAACAAATGGAAAGAGTTTTGTCAAAAATCTTTTAGCTCTGAATAATAAATTGAACTGTTTTCGATATAGGAAATCTAAACGCTCGACTGATCGTCTAAAACATTACATTTCAATGTCAACCCTCCCGACAAAAACACAAACGGAAGGTGTTACACGGTTTAAATAACAAAAAGTAGAGTCCGAATGAAGTGATTTCATCACCTTGACGTGTATTAGACTTTAGAAAATGAATAAATATTTGCTGTACTACTTTGAAAATAAACATGACATGACCATGCAAATATTTAGTAACCTGTTGAGTTCAAATACAAAAATAAAGAGGGACATGTTACGGTTTCCGCGATTCCGTTTCTACGCAGTAATTGGAGAACAGAAAATACTAAATATTTAATTCTGTGTAATCACGAGTTCGATAATTGCTACTCCTCAAAATTGAGTGAAAAGTGACGGAATTTTTGTTCAGTCTAACCTACAATCACCTTGAGAAATTGTGTTAAGTAGTGATGTTCAAAATGTTTGATATTTTCTCGCTAGAACTACGCGGTTGCTTTAAAGTGGGTCGACGATGTATAGTAGAATGCATCTTAAAAATCTACAAGACCGATTTTCTGAGTACATAAAAATCTACAGGATATACAACAGACAATGACAACTGCTGTGGGTTTCTGGGAATGCCTTTAGCGCATGCTCATGTAATGCACCAAGAATGTTAATGTGCATTGCATTTGGCTAAGAGAATACAAATCACCATAATCAGTAAATTCCTAATTTAGCAAAACTAATCAAGCATGAACCGAGTGGGATTGTAACCTACGTTGGAACCGTGTGGGCCGAAATTATAATTTCACTACAATAAACAATCTCTTATGTAATATGGGTTAAAACCTGAAAGAATATTTAGGTCGCGTGATGCCTTGGAATGCATAATGAGACGGAATAATAGAATTTGAGGTGGAAATAAGAGTAGCCATTGCAGATTCGTGTTTGTAAAGACATGACAGTGCTCATCTCATATTCTTACCGAGTGCAGGCGTGTCATCCTGAAGTTCGATGAGAACTCTGCCTGATAAGAACTGTCCGGGGAAGTACAACAAAGATGTGTTGTCAAAGAGAATTAAAAATTTCAGCAACTTCCGAGGCATTTTCACACATTATAAAACACTTTGGAATTACTTTAGTCGGCAGGTAGACACGCCACAACCATATCCAACTTTACGATGCGACTACTTTCCCTCTTACCATAAGGTGTGTGGGGGCTTACCTGTCCCCTCCGCTGCGACCGTGGAAACACTGACCTATGCCGACGGCTGGCGAGGCATAATAACTCCGTGTATAACTCCAAAAGTTAAGCCGGCCATTATAATATGCTTCAGTTACAAAGTCACTCTTGTTCTTAACGCTACTATTATTATTGTTATTATTATTATTACACGTAGCATATTACATAGCATATTAATTATAACCCGATGTTTACTTCATGCATCGCATCTATAGGCAACGCAGCATACAACAGTGTATATTGTATTGAAAACGTGAGGGCTTTTGCACACTTCAAGCCCGATTTTATTTCAAACTACTGTATGTCGACAGTTAACAAACTTTATACGTGAGTTATTTCGTGTTAACCGAGCCACGTTAAAATTTTGTTCATTTCTATATTTCACTAACGCTATAGAGCACACTTATTTCTACTAAATGTGTTGCTTGTTTCAGTGCAAAATAATTTATGAGTTAAAAAGTTAAATATGCAGGGTAGTTTACTAGTTTTCTGTAATTAAATATTGCGTTTTGCAACATTTATTCATTTTATGAATCAAATTATTAATAAAAACACGGATCCGATCGTTCTTGTTGATTAGAGATCATGTGGCTCGAAGCCTCAGTAGATTCCATAGACGACGCAGTGTGTTGCAACAGATACTTATTTTTTGTTACAGTATGTATTCTGAGGCAAAAAATGTGGAATTGTGTTTTAAATACTTATCCACATCTTGGTTGTACATTAGAAAGAAGCTGTGTTTTGTCTTTATTTGATTTCGATTTGCTGGGATCATCAAGTTTCAATATTGTCGACGCGACACTTTCGATTTAATGACTTAAAGGATTCCTAGGTGATTTATTCTTCATAGGTTAAAAACGCACGAAAGAGGAATTCCTGAATGTAAGTTTAGCGTTCTTGCACTATTTCACAGAAACATTTTCCTCTAAACTAAATACCAAGTAAACTGTACAACTAATATTTGGAGAAGGTTTGAACCACTAAAAACCATTCCCTTAATTACTTTCTCTAAAATAAGCGCATCTGGAATAAAAAATAAAGCTGTTGTGGCGAAATGCATTTCATTTATTTTTCCGATATTAAAAGCACAACCCTATTAACTAATTGATTCATTCCATTGCGTTTTAAATCAAATTTTTTATCGTTTTGTTTTCAATAAGTAAATAGAGATCACAATAACGTTTTAATTACAACGTTTTCATGAACGATAATTGTGTGCTCGATAATAATTTTCCCAGATTTAATAACCATTAAAAATTATCGCGACCCGTAAGAATATAGTTGAATGATATTACAAGAGTCTCTCGGGCAATGATATATGATTTATTAAAAGTGGATACTGTTATCGCATTATTATACCTCTTTTTACTGAATGGAAAGTTTTCAGAATTCTGATATATGTATGGATGTTGAGATAGATACCAATATTGATTTTCAGGATTATTTTTTATTATAATCCAACGCTACCAAAATTCACAGCCATTACATTAATGGCGAAATGCTAGTGTTTTTATTGTTTCTCATTTGTTCATACGCGGTGGATCACTGTGGTAAATATTTGTTTGATGGATTAAACGACAATGATGTCCATGTGACGACAAAATTGGTCTTATATTAATTCCATATAGTGGGATATTTGTTTTGACTTTTATCACTCACAAAAGTGGTAGTTGATAAATTAATAAGTTGAGTCGTTATTTAGACAGCTGTGGTATTGATTTAATGCCATAACGGTTGAAGGAAAAGACGATTCTGTTAGTGTTCGTGGGTTTCTATATTTAATTTTGATCAAATTCCACTCCCAAGTAGGTTTCGAATTTTTTCAACTAAAAGTACGACGGTTGTTGATAATACCGTGACACTAAATTTTTTCAAGGTCATTCCGTGGAAGGTACTAGTTGTATTTTTTGATTGCTGTTAGTAAAATAAACTGTCATGTTTATGTACAAAAATAAGTTTTCTTATTATGTTGTCATGCAAAAAAAAAAGAAATTATCTTCAGTATTAAGCGTCTCGGTAAAATTTAATATTGAAGTTTAACTAATAATATTACTAACACAATCACACCCTTCCCCTGACTTTAGCCTTATTATTGTCATTACCAAATTGTCACTCGTTAAGATGTTAATATCAATTACTTCTTCGACTGTCGGGTCCCCACTATATTGATTGTTTTTAGCTTTAAATTTTATTTAAACAGAGTTTTTACTTCCCGAGTGTGAGCTAAGGAAGTATTGTAATCGAGTCCGTCGGCCGACTCTCTACTTTTACGTTTTCTCGATCCGGCGAATGGCTACTTTTATGTTTGTTCGACGTTTCATGACCTGTAGATTATGAATCAATAGGTTTCGCGTTTCGACTATCGTCTCCGAAACTATCGAACCGATTCTTATCAAATTTTAGATGTATGTCAGGTTTGAGGGAAGTTTTGTCTATATGACAGATGATATGATATTTAAATATGTCTGATGTGTTAATGCGTCAGCGATAAATAATCTATACACTGTTTTTGGATAATATCATACATGTCAATCAAAGATATTGACAAGACATTTAGTACTTGTGTATTATTTTGATTATGATATGGTGCTTGGTCAACGTACTGATATATCTTTACGTAAGAACATAAAATTAACTTTGTTGTAATGTTATGATTTATTATTTATAGTATAGTCTGGATAGATCATGTCACTCTGGCCGATAGGTTGTATATTGATTTTCGGGTCATATGTGTGAATTTAATTTATAATTAGTTAATTTCTGACACAAATGTGTAGATGAACTAGGTAACCAGGTTTGAAAATAGGTATTAAATTTTAAATGTATTTACTCCAACACTCCACAGGTAGAAATCAATTAGCGTTTGTTTTGTACGTGTGTCTGTCGTGTGGAGTGTAGCTGATTTACATCTGTACAATTGGGACATGCTGTGTATAAAGAAAAAATCAATACATTCGCATTTTATAGATTTTGCTGCCCTGTCAGTTACCGTATGTATAAGAGACATGGTCGTATTTCTTGTGCGAAGCTCAAGTCGAGTCCGATAGTTTCCTCAGTCGCCGAGTTGAAACTGTTTGTAAAAAAAAATAATTACGACGACGAAAAGCTATAAATTTTGTCATTCCTTCAGCAAAAAAGGGTGTATAGTATATAGAAAGACAAGAATGACAGGGTGCCCGGTTCGGTGGCACCCGTGAGTTGAATAGTAATGATGTTTCAGAACGGAACCTCCCTGAGCGTCGGTATTCCTGTTCGGGCGCTGGCTAGCATTTAACGGGTTGAATACGATACGCTACTGCTGGATTTCAGCATTCTGTTTGATAGTATAGCACGCAGGCCACATAATACCAGAAGCTTTCATCATGATCAGGAAGCCGGTCCGAAGCTCAGCTACCACGTAACACTATGAATAAGGTGTCACGTTGTCGGCGAGTGCAGGATCAGAGGGCCGCAGGGCTGCCATGCCGTCACCGTCCCAGCACGACATTTAAAGGTCGCCGTGTCGCCGTATCGATAACATGGAAACATTGCTTATTATAGCTATGTCAGCACTAATAGCCGCATTTATTAACGTTGTAATAAACCCGAAGAATAATGCAAGTTTCGGTTCAGGAGGCTTCTTGGCGCATATTTACCGATAGGGCGGTCTGCAGTGGAGACCTCACTTATAGGACAAGCCATTCAAACGAGCCTATCGACAGAATCGGGCTCTTTTAACTCAACCAAACTCCCTCTGCTATCACGGGTTGTTGTCATTACAATTAAGGAATTAATTCGGGGACACATACGCACCCACATCCATCACAAATTCTCTCCTACACTCAAACAAAAATCTTGCTGATATGTTGACAATGGAAGAACATTAAGGAAGCATATACCTTGATAATCAAATGTCAGCCTGTCATCGCGTAAACTGTCTCATTTTTGACCTTGAAGTGTCGCTGTTAGCGTTGTTTCCCCATCATTAAAAAAAAATCGGCTGGGTTATGACACATGTACCCTTCTTAACCCACATTTGATTGTAGAATAGCAATCAGTTAAAACTGTACCTAGGTAGAGAGTTAAGCAGCTCTACCCATAATTAAGACTTGGATGGGTCCAATGAGTATCGGATCGCTCGTCTGTCTGTACAGTTAGGTGTGTCACTGCCCAGACGCTTTGCGGCAAAACTGGGTTACTAAACATAACCTAAAATAGACTATAATGGACACTTTATGATAAACAAAGTGGCGTAGGAGGGTTAAACATAGCGGGGCCACAACACAACATATATTGAAACTGAAATTTTCTTTCATCAATGAAATCCTTCAATTTAAAATATTACCCTCTCTGTTATAGCGCTGTGCGGACCCTGTTGCGTCAGATATAGTCGGTAATTGACGCATAAATTATCTTGTGGAAGTACAGCTGTCGATTTTGCGTCAGTTTTCTAGCCAGAATGCAGTCAGTTCACTGACATATACCACTCTTCGCCATCAGGTACCCCCGAGTGCAGGTATAAATTAAAATCACTTAGGTATTCATAGGGAAGGCGGCGATAAAACTCACTAACTTCTAAACGGAACGGTTACACCTCAGCCATTTTAACTGCAGTGTGACGTTGTGGGATTAAAGTCGGTGCAAGGGGCAGATAGCTCCAGTTTCACTTATTATGAGCATTATGAAAATGGCTTATGTATCCGGAGTTTACGTTTATTCTTCCTTCAAATTCCTCATCACGTCACCGCTTCATCGACGAAGCCATCTTTACTTTTAAGATAAAGCGGACGCATTTGTTAATAGCTAAGGAAGTAGCTAAGTGATTTAACACAGCGGAAAGACGTCAGTCACGAATCTAAATATATTGTCCACGAATACGGTGTAGTTACGAGATAAAATGTGCTTTTAAAGAATAAAGGGATCGGTGGAAAATGTAGACAGGCAAGGGGAGTCGCCGGTTTAGAGTAGGGTAAGTATGAAGTAATTATAACATA